TGCCTCTGCATGTTAGATGAGAGGCCAGTACAACAACTGGATGAGTAATCCACAATCCCTCCCTCACATTAATGTCTAAGCTGCATGACTGACTTAATGAACCTATTACGTATTGACGACAACTTTAATGTGAAATTATTTTTGTAGCACGTTTGACTGTGGGATGTTCGTCATCAAATTCATGCAGCAACCTGATTTAAGCCCCGGTCCACACAAGGTACATTCTACCGCTTAATTTCCATTTGTCAATCAAATCCTTCCTCGTACGTCCTCCAATTTTAACTGATTTGTCTTACGATTTTTGTGGACAAAGTTCGCTCCCTCTGTGCGTCATAAGTTGTTGGTTGACATCGTTATGGATGTCAATAATGCAAAGATCGCAGAGTACCGGGAGTGCCTTCATATGAGCAATGCCACAAGCTAGGCCAGTGATGGGAATGGGCTGCCAGTACGCCAGTAATTTGGGTGGCAATAGGACTTTAACTAATTTTTTATTCTTTGATTTCAATATGGATGTTAATTATGGGTCCCCAGTATTGTTTTTGTTGGACGATGTAAATATGGACCAACTGCAAAGTGCAAGGGAGGCCTTTAGTTAGGGGAAACATATGAAACTGAAGATAAATACAGTCCTGACCTTCAGTCAGTGGGCGTGAAGAACGTGGCGTGCGATGTGCATACTTCTCCTATTAAGCTTGGCAAACCATTGGGAGCAACTGGAATCGTTAGAGGAAGTGCGAAGGGAAGACGAAAAGGAAAAGGAAAAGGAAAAATGTGCGGAAGTGGAGTTCAAGCCACTGAGGTTGGGGATATGCAATTGTGCATCGATAGCAAAACAAATAGTGGAGTTGACGACAGCAGTTCACCTGTGGATGTTGATGGTGTGGACAACGTGAACAAGGTACAAATACTGCCTTTAATGCCCCACAAGTTGTGAATACCCAATTCATGCCCACATCAATAATGTGAATCAGTAATTTTACAATCATCTGTGTTGTATTGTACTAGTTGTCAAAGAATTGCATGTTTGCAGTTATGACTGCTGCCATATGTTAGTACACATTTCTAACAAACTCCGCACCAAACATCACAAGTTGGGAAAACTCTGGGGCTCACAGTTTTTACATCATTTCACGTTTTTTTTATGACTACAGACCTTGTAATATAAGCTTCAATATTTTTATGAAATGTGTACTGTTAGTTGGCTGTTTATTTTTGTAGGACTCGTTGACGATGTTGGACAGCGAAGGGTTGTTATCGGCGGAGGAACAAAAACTTCTTCACTATGTATTTGACGATAGCAAAAATGAAATGTATTGTTTCATTTACTACTTGCAAATTTTCAATGACAGTCCACTGTGAAATAACTATCGTTCTAAGGATCATTTATTGCTTGTAGGGACATTGTTGTTTCCATGAATCTTCATGGACGGGCATGTGAAGTTGGCACCCGGCGTGACATGCGCACGCTCAAACCAGGGTCGTGGCTATCCGACACTGTAAGTGTTGGCTGCACAAATATGAATCTGCGTTTTTCAGTACCCCTAACTCAGAAACCTTTCTAATCAACTTGCCTTGTGTCTTGCATACAATGTTCCAGCCAATCAACTTGGTGGTGGTGCAATTGACTAATCGACAGAGGGATTTACACAATGACGGGAGGCACACTGATTGGTTCTTTCCCGTATATCTGTCGGTAAGTAAGTGTTTAAAGCTACGTTGTGTATTGTGTATGACATATTTTGACAAATGTTTCCGTCAATGACCTTTACGCATTACACATGCAGACTATGATTCTAAATAAAGATATGCAACCTCTGGACCATGAACATATCGTCACATCATTTTTCGGACATGACAGATACACTGGTGCGATTGATGCATGCCAGAGGGTAATATCAATGTTCATCCCGTTATATTAAAACGAAAATATGAAAGCCATTACATGTTTGCATGGCCTCTAAACAAGGTCTGCCGTTGTGTTTTCGTGTAGATTTACGTGCCTTTCAATTACAGAGGAGTGCATTGGTTGTGCGTTAAAATTGATATGGTGGACCGTGTAGCCTACCTATTCGACTCAGTCCCATCCAACCGACCGAACAAAAGGAAGCTAAATGCAGCTAAAATTTTGGTATGTCCTTCTGGTGCATTTCTGAACACTACAAAAAACTTGAACATCCTTTACGTAAACCAACTTCAACCTTGTGGAACAGGTTGAAACTATGCACGACTTGCTGCAACTACACTTTGGAAATGATTATGTTACAGACGTGCGTACCTTCCACCGCTGCATGTTAGACGAGAGGCCAGTACAACAACTGGACGAGTAATCCACAATCCCTCCCTCACATTAATGTCTAAGCTGCATGACTGACTTAATGAACCTATTACGTATTGACGACAACTTTAATGTGAAATTATTTTTGTAGCACGTTTGACTGTGGGATGTTCGTCATCAAATTCATGCAGCAACCTGATTTAAGCCCCGGTCCACACAAGGTACATTCTACCGCTTAATTTCCATTTGTCAATCAAATCCTTCCTCGTACGTCCTCCAATTTTAACTGATTTGTCTTACGATTTTTGTGGACAAAGTTCGCTCCCTCTGTGCGTCATAAGTTGTTGGTTGACATCGTTATGGATGTCAATAATGCAAAGATCGCAGAGTACCGGGACTGCCTTCATATGAGCAATGCCACAAGCTAGGCCAGTGATGGGAATGGGCTGCCAGTACGCCACTAATTTGGGTGGCAATAGGACTTTAACTAATTTTTTATTCTTTGATTTCAATATGGATGTTAATTATGGGTCCCCAGTATTGTTTTTGCTGGACGATGTAAATATGGACCAACTGTAAACATGGATCAAACATGTCGACGTGGCTGCTGACTTAGTACTGTTTTGTTTACGCATGTTTCTTGTTCGGATGAATGCGACTGTAACTGTATATAATTTACGGCTGCTTTTGTTACCGAAGTTAATTTATAATTTAATTACAAAAAAGGGAAAATTAATTTTCAAAAATGAAAGAAACCACATTATGAATGAAAACTCAATACTCTTCGTAGGTAAGTTATATATCAGCCCATTAGCACATATGACTCCAGTCAAAACAAAACTTTCATGGCTTACAGGGAAGGATAAAAAAAAAGTAAATCAAATCTACATATCTGCTGCATCATCAGCAGCGTCTTTTGAAGAGTTGTCCGTACTGTCTGACTGACTGTCCTCATCCATTGTCTTATCAGACTTCGCTTCGTCCGCCGCCAATTTGTCATCGGTCAACCAATCAACGTTCTGCTTGATAGTGCCGACTTGCCGCTCCAAACTTGACAACCGTGTGTCCACTTCATTCAGCCTTTCGTAGATAGCTTGCAACTGCTGGAATACAGGAGCAACATGAGCTTCAACAATAGCTTCAATCTTGTTCGAATCGGACATTTTGTAGGAATATGTGTATGGTTTATTTTACTGACTACTTTTTTAAAGGAATGTACAGATTCATAATATTACACAACACTATGCTGTAAGTATTTGTAATATATGGTACATGACTTGTATGTTTGCAGAAGACCTCATGCATTGTGACATACATCGTATTAATTTCTCAAACTGGCCGAATTTATCTTGCAAAAATTCGTTCCTTCTTGCATGCACCAAGTCATCCGTTCAGTACCCCTGATCGTCCATTATTTGGCATTTCCAACACACATGCATTGTACCTTCCATCAGTACTATCCCACTGTCATTGATTTCCACACCCACAGTTCATCATACAGTCACATTCGTCATTTGTATTTGTGCCCCAACCCAATTACATGTCTACTCATCCATAAAGGTTAGCAAAATTGCTCTTATCAGATACATATGCCGTTCCAATTGCACCGAACCTTTAAATGCAATACCCGCAGTCATTAAGTTGCTTTTACGCAGTTTGGGTAGTTGTTGCCACCAAACAACAATAAGTGTGTTCACGTCTTTAAACCTACCACCAACGTATTAATGACTATGGGTTGAAGGTAATTTAACATTTACTACCAACCACAAAAAAGTTTGCAACCAGTGTTGTTTCCTTTGCATTTGGGTTTGTTTTTGCGTCCATATATTCTTCGTGAACCTGCGAAAACAAAGTTGGACTCAATCAAGAAGCTTCACACCTATGGATGCACACCACGGTAAATGTGGTCGTGGACAATCACTTGCAACGGCTGGCAGCTCCCGACCGAAGTCACCAGAATTGGATTATGCAGGTGGGTATATTGATTCCTTCGGTGATCGACGTTTCTTTGAAACAGGGTTCCCACTGTGGAGTTTTGAACCTCTACGGGATTACAACTGCACCCCAATACAAGATGCTTGCCTGGGGAAGTATTTTGGAATTCCAGTTTCACTGTTTGCCAAACTAGTTCAGTGTGAACACCACTGTCGATGTGCTTTTCTGAAGGTCACAAAAGCCCGATCGGTTGAAATGCAGTGGCAATTCCCTCATGTCAGCGACTCCTAACTTAGGCATCGTTTGCAAAGTGAGGTTGATCAAATGACTCGTCGACTCATTAGGAACTCACAGATAGAGGACGCAAAGGCAGAGTCGAAGATACATGGATCGAACCCGGCATCTGTGATCAAGGCTATAATGGAGGATCCTGCACTGGTGTCGGACCCTGACCTTTCAGATTACTCAGACTCCGAAGTTGTTGATTTGAGCGAGGATTAGCAAACCTGGATATGTGTATGACATAGTAAGCGTAGTCTTGTGAGATGGCATCGTCGCGCGAAAATAAATGACTTAGAAACTAACAGACCGTCATACTCTACTCCATTGCAACGGTGCATGCGTTAACGTCTTTATCATGTCCACTTTGTTGAAGGTATTTTTTTGGGTCACCGTCATCGACTGAAAGCTGTCTTATGATTTTTGTTGGTACGATGACAAGGTAATTTTTTTGTAATGTCAATGACCGATATCAGAAACTATCATTAACCTACGTTTTGTTGATTACTTCATGTTTGTGAATCGTTCAATATGGACAACAAGGTTTAAGTGTCGGAATCATTGCCTGGAATCACAAGCTGTAATTGCAAACAAAAATTGTGCACAACCAGCCAACGGTCTCATACACTCTTACCATCAATATGGGCACAAAATTTTTTGTTTTTTCAAAGACGACGGTTGTGTGGAAGCATACCCCATGGGGTCAACCTGTGCATTACCAATTTTTCTCCCATTGTGCATTGTTATGAACTAATCAGCTCCCCTTCAAACAAAAAAATATACAATAGACCATGCAGAAACAGAGTATTGATATTCATTAATGAAGAAGTCAGCACGATGGTGAAGAAATGTACCACGCATCCTATATCTGCTTTCAACTTGCTAACAGATAATAGTTGAGGCCACAGATAAGTGACAAACAGATACTAGTTGACAGATAACAGATTTGCCAAATCTGTTAATTACAAACAAACCTGCAACACATAACAGAAGTTGTTCATTACAACCAAAATTGATGCACCCAGATAAGAGAACCTGCAACAGATAACAGGCAACAGATAAGTGACAATGCACCGACAAAATTCAGTCATCCACAAAGCATCCACAAAATTCATCCACATAGCATCCACAAAAATGAATCCACATACCATCCACAAAATTCGTCCACAGATCTGCCAAATAGCATCCACAAAGCTCTTACAATGACACCAATGTTTCCCAAAATTCATTACAGACTAACATTATAAGTCACATCATAATAACTTATAAAATTCATTCCGTACATTCATTCCATAATAAAATTCATTCCACAAAGCTATTAAGTAAGTTACATAAGTTACATCATAATAAAATTCATTCCATAAACATTACTTACATAATTGAGAGGGTGATTTATGATCTGGAGTTGGGCCGAGGTAGCGACCGAGCAGGTTGAGAGCCCAGCAGCACATGGGGCCGAGATGATCGACTATTCGCCCGGAGATGGGCTGCCAGAACTTGGGCCGGGCAGAACTTGGGCCAAGTGCGTCCCGCCCCAGACCGTAAAGAAGCGGTTCGGTAAGGCAGTGCTCGGTCGGACCGGGATGCTCGGTCCGAGGATAGCCGAAGCCAGACAAGCCGAGTGACCGACGCTCGGAAAGGCACGGTCGGCCGAGGTTACTGTTTGACCGGCAGGAAAGCTGACCACGGGGTGCTTCGGGCTAGGCTTTGCCGAGATGCTGCCTAGCCCGGTCCTTCTCGGTCTTTGCCAGGGAAGTGCTTGGATATGAAGCACGGCGCGGCGCAGCAACGCAAAGAGCAGTTCGGCTGCCGAGCTCCGGCTGTGATGGCGGGCAGTTGAGATTAGGTGATGTTCAGCAAGGTCTATGCTGACAGATGGGATAGCAGAGCCACGTGTCAGGAGATGACTGGGGGTGGATATGGGGCTCAGAAGGTATATAAGCATGTCTGCGCCCTCCATACGCGACACACGAACATCTCTGTAAGGAATTCTTACACTCAAAGACTCTCTCCCTTTTCTCTATCCATCCTAAGGTGTGTGCTAACTTGATCGTCGGAGGGTTTTTCCGGCCACACACCGCCGGGTAGCTCACCGTTACTTGCTCGCAGGTGATCGGACATCGACGGAGCTCGGAAGAAAGGAGTACGGGCTTGCCGGAATATTTGCTCCCCGTACAATTGGCGCCGTCTGTGGGAAACTTGATAGACAAAACCTTGTCTTCCAGGTTCATCTGATCGTCGTCCATGGTGAACAACGACGAGTTTCCGTTGTCCGCCATCGACGGAGCCACCCCGGAGTATACCCGAAGGAGAGAGGGACCTCCTGCTGTCCACCCAATGGCTGAGTTGGGAACGCCCACTGGCGGACAGTCAGGAGACGCGCGGGACAAGCGCGGACGAAGTCATGGACATTCACGGAGTCCAGACGGTCACCGTAAAGGACCAAGATGCCGTCATCTGGAGAATGGCGGCGGAGATGGAGGATCTGAAGCGGCATGTCAAAGGGAAGGGTGTAGCTGAAGTGGGAGACTACAGTGAGCGCACCCAACCCCGCCGTTCATGCAGTCATAGCCAGCAGCATACTCCGTCCATCTCAATCACCAGAAGTTATAAGGTTGGAGATTCCGACGCGCATGTACAGAGGTCCAGCGCGCAAGACAACACCTATCAACCTTCACGTCCGGCGACGACGTCGAGGTACTCTTACTCTGCTCAGTCAGAGGATTTGCGGGCAGTCTTAAAGGAGCGGGCTCGCCGGCGCGAGGCCCAGAGAATACCTGCTTTTCAGCGGCTTTTATACGGGGTTCATGCCAGCGAGGAGGTCGGAATGCCTCTACCCCGCCAAGCAGTGCCACTCCTTGAAGATATGGACTTGGCCAGGCTGAGTGCCACTCCTTTTTCCCTGGAAATTGAAACAACACCACTTCCGGCAGGCTTCCACCAGCCTAAGTTCACACTTTACGACGGAAAGACCGATCCGTACATGCATGTGAGCCACTTCCGATAGGTCATGGCGGGACATAGGCGCAATGACGGACTTATGTGCCTAATCTTCCCGTCCAGTTTAGGCGAGCTGGGCTTAAAGTGGTTCGAGAGGTTGCCGGAAGGGAGCGTACAACGGTGGCATCAGTTGACCGAGGCGTTTGTTACACGCTTCAAAACCAACACAAAGACACCAAAGGAAGTTGATCATTTGCTAAGTGTTAAGATGGAACCGAGCGACACACTGAAGGTATACAACTTAAGGTACTGGGAAACCTTCAACGAGATCTTGGATTGCCCGGTCAACCTTGCAATCACGCAGTATAAGCGCGGTCTCCCGGTCGGACATAGACTGCGGGACTCGCTTACCATGCACCAGCCGACCTCCATGGGCCAGCTCATGCAGCGCATCAATGAGCACATCCGTGTTGAGGATGACGCGTCAGCTTCTACCGTGAAGGCCAGTCCGGTAGTAACAGACAAGAAGACAGCAGGCAAAGTGCACGCAGTTGGGCAAGAGTCCAGCCGCTCAAGTGACCGAGCAGAGGAATCAGACCGTGGTTCAAATCGTAAAAACCGGGGTAGAGGACGTCGGAATGACCGGGATAACTACCTCCGAGATGACGTTCAGGACGCAAACAGAAGGATGAAGGCGAGGACTGGCATAACCACGGTCTTCAAGATTCCAATCTATCTCATACTTAGTGAAATCCGAGACGAGGAGTATGTCCGGTTTCCTGCTAAGTTGGGCGATGGGCAAAAGGGCTATAATCCGCGGTATCGTTGTACGTTCCACCGAGAGAGAGGCCACCGGACTAAGGACTGTTTGCCTTTGAGGCAACACTTAGAAGAGCTGGTCGCTGCCGGGCATCTAGACCTTTACATTGATGGCGGCGTGAAGCCGAATCAGGCTCCGGTCGATCCCCGGGGACAGGATGACCGAGACGCACCACCGCAAGGAGTTATTAATGTCATCCACGGCATCGTGGAACCGGAGCGTGTCTGCGAACTCCGGGGCATGATAAAAAAGGCAGAGCATATGCGGGAAATTTTGTCGGTACAGCCTGCCATCAAAAGGGGGAAGACAGAAGAAAAAGACATGATTAGTT